CATTCTACAGTATTTAACAAGAACAAAGGCTTGGTATATAGATACTGGTGTAATGATAGGGTCTAGAAGACTGTAGGACGAAACAGAGAAACAGGCTAAGAGGAAGGCACATTTGGCAAACCCTCACCATGATCAACTCCCGCCTGGAAACCTATGTCCCCAATGTGGAAGGACGTGTGGATCCTGAATTGGTCTCCACAGCCACTTATGGACTCACTGTTAAGACTGTGTTCATGGAAGACAATCTTACTCAGCTACAAGTGATCACCAAAGAAAGAATAAAGAAAGAAGATCAACAGAGGGAAGACTTCTGTGGGTTTAAATTTATGATCACCCAGTCCCTGAGTCAATCTTTAGTTTTTTAAACCATTTTCCTTTGGTGGGAAAAGCCTGGGGCCTGGACTGTGGCATCAATTTCTAAGGGCCAAAGACTGCTCCCCCAACATGCATGTCACCACCGTGTCCCCAATTAAATTCTAATTTGTATGGATTTTAGCCATAAAGTGTTTGGGGAACCTATCCAGGCTGAAAAGGAATATTTTTAAAACAGTTCATCTCAACTCTAAAATCCCTCTATTCATATCCAATTATTAAGGAACATCTAGTTACACTGGACCTATAGCGTCCCAGTTGAATTATCTTTAAAGACTTCCTGATTCTATCACTTGCATGCAGATACACAGCCTTTCACCACAAGGCATGGCTCAACTTTACATCATAGTTCCCTTCCGATGGACAATATCCTGTCCACACATGCAGCAAATGTGCACTCTTTTATAAATGAAAGGATACACAAAACTTGAAATATATTAAAATAAAATTAAGCAAAACAAAATGATGAGGTGCTAGTGCAGAGGATTTGCCTTTGTGCTACTTGCAATGGTGCTTCGTAAGTGGAGCTGCACAGTGGCAGGCAGTATGTACAATTTTACTGAAGACTTTAAAGCACACAAGGAAAGAAATCTCGCAAGTGTGAAGGAAAGGACAGTTATGGCACTTGCTACTTGCTAATGTCAGTATGATATAGTGGTTAGTGTGTCTGACTAGCACCTGAGTTTAAATCCCCACTAGGCCATGAAGCTTGCTGGGCCAGTTACTACCTCTCAGCATAACCTCACAGGGTTGTCGTAGGGTTTAAATGAAGGGGAGAAGCTTGGAGAAATGCTCTTCTCAGGGAGGAAAGCCTGGCAGCATCATTATCTGCTTTTAAACACCAGGAAAAGATATTCTTATTCACCCAGGCTTTTGGTCCTCAATTTGGGGGATCCATAGATAGGTTTACTGCCTCTTCTTCTACTCATCTTTCTAATGGGGTGAGCATTTTAGGTTCTTGTTTTAATGTTTATTTTTACCCTGCAAATAACTTTTTCTGAAAAAGCAAGCAATAAACTAATAACAGTAACTATTCCAAATTAGAAAAATGTTCATGCCTATTCACCTGATGGGAATTCTTATGAGGAATGCAGCTAATTTACAAGTCAATTAAAGATTAAGAACACTGAAATATAGGTGGAACCTGATGAACAAATCATGTTGAAGCAGCTCATTTGAATCAACAATACTTGCCAATCTTTTTTTAAACAGTTTTTTCTAGTATATTTTTAAAAACATGAAGTGCATTTTCAAAACTAGACTTCCCAAAATAGCCATGTGCTATTTGCGTATCATCTTCACTAACATCCTAAAGCGTTAGCCTTATTCCTTGCTTCCTTTATTTTTTTCTTGGGGGTATGTGGTTATGCTATGTTTTAAGAGATTCGTAAGTTATTCATTTCACAAAAATAAGTGGCTAACAACGCATTTCCATGCTCAAATTAACTTTTAAGGCACTAAACAGTTTAATACTGGATTACCATATAGTCTGCCTGTATTGAAAGCAACTTCCTCAGAACATGGCTAACTCTCCTTCACTGGAAGTTTTCAAAGGGAGGTTAGATGGCCATCTGTCTGTGATTCTTTAGCTGTGATGCCTGCATTGCAGGGGGTTGGACTAGATAGCCCTTGGGGGTACCTTCCAACACTACAGTTCTATGATTGTGCCCATAATCAAGTTCTATGCACATTATACAAATATTCTTCAACAACACAGTACAAACAAGATTACTGTTACCATCACTAACATATAACTTGGTCAAGGATTCGTTGAATGATAAAAGGATATTTTACACTGTGCTCTTCTTTAGAAGTAACCTGCCTCAAAGTGTCCATAATCTTCACAGAGGCTTTCAACAAAATACTGCCAGTTTCAGTTCCTTCATACACTTGCTCTTTATTTCCTTTTTTGCAGCTTGTTCATAATCATCACGCACATGCTATTGAGACCCTGTTGCACTTATTTCACTAAGGCACTTCAGGATTCCTCAATTCTAGGTATGCAGCTTTCAGGACCACTGAGGGCCAAGGTGATTTGAATATACCATATTTACTCAAATCTAATGCTCACTTTTTCTGGCCAAATAACGTTGCAAAAATTAAGCTGTGCATTACATTCAATGGCACATTTACATTCGCCAACAAATATGTTTTTGGTTTCAAGGTTCTGAAAACTGAGGTGTGCATTAGATTTGATGGCGCATTAAACTCGAGTAAATACAGTATTTATCTTCCACAAGCAGTTTACTTCCTAAGACAACAGCTTGACAGATTCACCACCAATTCCTCCATTTTCACACTACTGCATAGCCTTTGGCATAGCAGACTAGTCTGTTCAGGTTTGTTTCCCCCAGAGGAATGTTGTATTTTTTTTTATATTATTTTTTTTTGGGTAGTTGACTTCTCTTGTGTTTAAGTGGTTTATTTTTCTAATTTTTTTCTTGGAGGATAGAAACTTCCTACACTTTTTTCATTACAGTACTTGCATAATTCTTACAGACCATATACACTAAATTACTTCATTATCCCACCTGCCATAAATAAACTACCTTAAAGAAACTGCCCAAAATAAACCAAACACCTCCAGAAAACAGAATCCTGAACCAGTGACTTCCCAGAAAGTTATGGAACTAACAGACCACATCACAAATAAATAGTCTGAATGCCAGCTCTCCCAGTAGGCTTCTTGGTTTGAGGCTTAAATTTGCTAAGTTTGGCAATTTGATTTAACATCAGTTTGTAAAAGCACCAACCATTCAAATAAAAGCTGGCTGCAGAATCCTCAGTTCAGCTCACTTAATGACCATTTGAAATTTGCTTTATCAATGAAATATTACAGCTGGGCACCGCAACCACCCACCCCTTTTCATATGCAAAGACAACTCCAGATACAACCTCCAACCACCCCTCTCACTACCCGCCTGCTGCCTTAACGCCGCCGCAGGAACCTCCAAGAACACAGAGTTCATAGCTCAGTAGTAGAGGATGTGTTTTTCATGTGCTGAGGTCCTAAATTCAATCCCTGACAGTTAAGAGGATCTCATATGACAAAGCTGGGGAAAACCTCTAGCCTGAGTCACTGCCAGTCAGAGGCAGCAATAGTGGGCTACATGAACCAGTTCAGTATACAACTGCCTCATATGTGCAAAATACACTATGTTCAACCCAAGTTATTTTCTATCTGCTTCACAGAAGTTTCTAAACAGGATATATGCAGTCTCCCTTACCAAGAGTTCAACATCTCACAACACTTTCTGGGATCTTTGAGCCCAAACAAAACACTCATTATTCTTTCCTCATTCAGGACCTGGAGAACTAACAATCTTATTCATGCTTACTCAGAAGCAAGCTTCATTCTCTGATCCATCTGTCCTTGAGCATTTGTGGGGAAGAGAACCGATAGGGTGGGGTAGGGTGGGAGAGAATGTCCAGAATTCCATAACATGAGTATAAAGTTCACTGGGACTTGCTTTGAAGAAAATGTACGAAAGACTGAAGCCACCGTAAGAGTCAAATCCTATGCATAGTTACAGAGTTTAATGCTACTTAGTCCCCTGAGAGTGCATACAATTGTATGCATTTTTTACACTCAGAAGTGAGCCCAATTTTGGTTTGTAAGCTCCTCCAAGCAGGCACCTGTCCTGCTAGTGTTACCTAAATAAATAACAATTACTCACTAGTGAAATGTGCATAGCATTTACAGCAGACATATGGCTGAATCCTATGTGTGCTTACTCTGAATCGCGTCCCACTAGGTCCAACAAGATCTATTCCCATGTAGGCTTATTTTGGATTGCCCCAAGCATAAATTTAAGTCACTGAATTGAACCAAATAGACATGCAGCTTGATCCTACGCACACTGATCCTGAAGCAGATTTGACCATGTTTATTTATTTAGCAGATGCATGATAAATCCAATGGGTTCCAATAGGATTCACTCTCAAATAATCTCGAATAAATTTATTCCGTCAAGAGTTCCTCGCTCATGACCTCGTGGTGCAATTCCACGCACATCAATCCTGTCACTGGGGTCAATGTCACTTTCTTCCAAGTAACTTAACATACACATAGAGGGACTTACTCTATGCGTCCACAATATATACACAGCAGCCACGCCCTGTGACCCGGATCCTACGCACGCCGGCTCTGTGACCACTGGGCCTTACTCCCGAGTAACCTTACACTCGTCTACTCGGAGAAGTTTGTTATCAGGCTTCAAAGTTCCGCAAGAATGTTTTGGGGGGCTTCTGTTACAGCAGCCTAAAGAGACTAACCCTGACAAATTAAACGTGCGCTGAATCGCAGGGCCACCATCACGCGCACACCCCTCACCAGCCCGAAGGCCAGCGCGAGTCTGGCAGGGAAATCAAGGGCTGCAGCCAACCAAGACCTGCTCGAAGTAGTCCCAACGAAATAAAAGGGCGTGACTAATTCAGGTCCGTTAATTCCAACTGCTCTGCTCCGAGTAGGACTTGGTTGGGGCAATCTTTTCCCCCTACCCCACCGCACCTCGCCAAAGCCCCGTCGCGTCAGAGAGCGGCTGGAAGGAGTTGCAAAGCTGCCGCCTCCCCCCCCCCGGCCGAGCCAGAGGGCAACAGGCGAGCCAGCTCGGTCCGGCGAGACGCACCTGCTGAGGCGGCGGCAGGCCCAAGCGGCTGTGGCAGTGGCGTCGTCGTCGACGCCGGCGGCCCCGGGCCCGGCTGCTGCCCGTCCTCCCCGAAGATGAGCCTGAAGTCGAACTCGTCGTTGGCGCCGCCGCAGTTTGCCGCAGTCATCGGGGGGCGGGTGGGGAGCCCAGACCCCGCCGCCGCGCCGGGCTTCGTTGGGCTGGGCTGAGGCGAGGACAGGGGGCTGGGGGCGAGGGGGGGACGAGGAGAGGGGGAAGGGGGGCAGGGCGGGCGGGCTGCGGTGGCCCCCGTCAGGGCCGCCTCATAGTACTGCGTGGGAGAGGAGGAGGAGAAAGAAGGGGAGGAGGCGGCAGAAGCAGCGCTCCGGGCGGCGAAAAAGCGGCTTCTCCTTCCACGGTTTGGCGGCGGCAACGGCGACTCGGCGTCCTCGCAGCTCCTGAACTCCCGCCTGTCACTCACAAGTGCCGGAGGGGGGGAGGGGAGGGGAAAGGCGACTAGAAGCCGCTGCGGAGGCCACGCCTCCCGGGTCTCCGCGCGCCGGGCCACGCCCACTCCCCTCACGCGGCACCTCCGCCATCGCGCCACGCCCATTTCGAGCCCTCCGCTCGCTTATTGGTTGGCGAACCGAGAAAAGAGACAAGAGTTTGCAGGGCCGCTAACGGTGCGGGTTTATTGGGTTTTTTCTTTTCTTTTTACATCTTCCTTTGATTGATTAGTATATCCTATTGATTATTTGGGGTTGTATTCTCAAAATTTAAGAAACATTTATTTAAAAACAGCAGTGTATGCACACACAGAGGTACTGCCTCTTGGCTACAATCGGGCTCACCAAATTAGGATTGCAGACATTTGCCTGGGAATAAATCCATTTAATTTTTAAGGATTAAATCTAGGTTGCATTGTGCTACTGTGCAAATTGTTATAGCACAATCTTAAGTGAACATAAACTTCAGCAGATGTATGAAATGTAATGCTCTGTTGCAGTTATATTGGATTGCATCCAACATTAGTCATGCTCAGAGTAGTTAAAGCATTCGCAGTTGGGAATAAAACTATTGTTTCTCTTTTGTAGACCCAAATGAAAATAGCAGAGCCACAACAGTTTGATTACCCGCACAGAGCACTATCTTTCTGTTACAGGTCCAGAACTCTTTTTCACCCAGATCCTTGCACTAACAGCACCACTGATCCCACTATGCATATGTACTCAAAACTAAACAGACTAAGGCCGAATGTTGGTCAACAACAAAAGATTCCACAATTGGGCAATGCCTTTATTAAGACTTACTAAAATGACACATTATCATGAGCAAGCTTTGGACTGCTCCGGACCTCTTCATCAGCCTGACAGGGTGTGTTAGGCTGACAGTGACTGAGGCAATCTGAGCAACATGCTCAGTAAGGATTTGAAAGTAAGGATTTGAACCCTGGTCTTCCATACCCCAGTCTTAAGCTCTAACCATTGTACACAGCACTGTTTCTTTGTTTACTCGTGTTTTGGATTACAATTTGACAGTGACACCCCATTGTCTGTTTTGGAACTTTTCTATGCATTTGGAACATTAGTAGTACCTCATAAAGGGTTCCAGTACAGCGACATACAATCAATTAAAAGAAGATTGAGTGCGCGTTTATGGGAAGGGACCACCTAAAAAGCATGGGGATAGAAATGTAAAGGAAAATGATTATTTGGGGAGGCGGGAAATACGCTTTAAATGTATAGTATTTAACGTGAAACCTCCTTATAACTTCTCTACTTTGAGCGCAGAATGGTATGATCACCGCAAAGCCATGCAACCTCTTAAGAAATCTACTTTTCGTTTTAGAGTTGCTGTTTGTATGCCGTTTTACATTGATTCCTATGTACTTCCACAGCTCTTGTCCCTCATCAAGAGGATTCGAACCGCAATAAGAAGCCGGAAGTGTCTTTGTCAACCACAGGCTCTGGGCCCTTAAAGAGCAGTTCACTCGCCAGCTCTGTCCGCTGCCCTAGCTTTACTGGCACGCGCGGGCCCCGCCTCCTTTTTACGTCACGTTCTCGTCGCAGCCAGTCTCTCACAGCCGTTGCTTTTTAGCTTAGCCACACCCGACAGCCTCTCCTTCCGCCCGTCAGGAAAGACTTTTGTCCCCTGGGCTCCTCCCTCGCCCTTCTCGTCTGGCTTTCCCTACGCAAGCTAAAGCTGTTTGCCCGATGACGTAAAAAAAACGGCCAGGACATTTTCGCCTCGTGACTAGAAACCAGTAGGAATTGTGGGTTCAGCTGTTTTGGTGGACTACGACTCCCATCATCCCTAATGGTCGCGCCGCGCTCACTGAGCCTGACGGGAGCTGTGGTCCAACAATGTCTGGTTTAAAGAGACCTCCTGACTGCCCTTTTGGGGAGCGAACTAGCTTGTTTTGTGAATGCAGCACTAGCAGCTGTCCCCGGGCACATGAGATGGTTTATGCCCGTTTAGTTAGATTCTGAGATGACTCAAGCCAAGCCTCGACGGGAAGGTGCCTACGAGTATATAGAGAGTAGTCCCTCTTCTGAGCTCCAGCTGATAGCACTGGCCTAATCCTATTTCCCAAGAAGTAAGTCCGACTGAGTTTAGTGTTATTACTCTCTTTAAAAAAACACAGTACCTGGAACAACTCATCAGGATCCCTACAAATTGTTATTTATTTAAAAGTATTCTAATAGCTTTTCATAAAAACAATTCCAGGGTGGTGGGAAAGTGTGAATAAAATAAATTCATACAACATATAAACGTAACAAAACACAGCAAGACAAAACAACCCCAGCCCCTGAAAACTTGAAAACATTCCAAAAACCACCTATAATCTTAAAGGTCTGTCCTTTCGGCTGGGAACTCTGCCATCAAGTAATTCCTCAGTACACATTCGGCGCCTTCTCCCTCCCTATGCCATCAAAGAACCTGGATTTGCACCATGAACTGCCCAGAGCACTCTGCAGGTCAGTAAGTTGCAGCCACACTTGGAATGTACTTGTGTACAATTCTGGTTGCTTTTTGGTTAAGAGGTAAGGGGAAACATGATAGAAGTGCAAAACATTGTGCAGGGTGTAGAGAAAGTAATATTGGAACCCAATGAGGCCATCATGTGGAGCTGAATGTGGGACGATTCAGGACAGACAAAGGGAAGTAGAGTACTTCATAATTTAGGATGAAGCCATTATGATACTGACCGTTTTATTTTCAATTCCTTTCCTACTGCTCCCTAACACAATTTACCTTTTTTAAAATCCACTGTACTGATTAGATAGACGATTGGTATGATTCTGCAGGTCTTTCTGTTTGTTCTAAAATTGGATATTTTTTTTTGAGCTGGCATCTGCCCTCAAACACCTTCTTTAGCTCACCTGCAGCTGTACAAATAAAGCTATTCTCTCTTTCTGTCTTCCCTGCCCCCCCTTTCACTCTTGTGTCTCAAGGGATCTGCTGCAGATCACCAGATGGGGACTTTATGTTTTTTTTAAAGCACTTGGGTTATTTTAAGTGCTAAACAAATTAGAAAGAAGGGGTGGGCCTGAGCCAATGAGGCAAAAACACAAGTGATAATGGCAGCAGGGAGGGAGTGTGGGGAAAGTACTGCTTGAAAGAGAAGCTTGATCAAGCATCTTTTTCTTAAGATCTGGGGCGGGGGGGGGGGACACGGAATACTCAGTGATGCCATCACTTTAGCACATATGCCCAGACCCCTATTCAGCAAAATAAGCAGAAGGGTTCCCAAATGCAGCCAGGCTGGCTTAACATGTTTTAAACTTTAAGAAGAAGCACTCTTTGAAGTGGGGAGGAAGATGCTAGTATTCTACAAGCAGGGCTAAGCTCAAAGAAGCCCCTTTTCAAGCAGTCTCGCAAAAGGTGGGTTGGATTGGGGGCCTGGTTTTGCCTATCTACTTTGAAAGGGGCTTCTCTTGAACAGCAGGATGCTTGTAAAATACTAGCAACTCTCAGTCTATCCACCAACACCCCATGAGGAAGGGAGTTCATTGTTGCAATGCCTTTCTTTCTGCCCAGGTGGAGGAGGGAGGGAGGGAGGGAGAAACCAAGATTTTACAAGGCTCCTGCTCAAGAGAAGCAAATGAATATGCTCCCTATTGTCTCTTTCAGTGCCTATTGAGGGTCATTCTTTTTCAACAAGCTTTTATTTGGAGAGTTCCCTCCCAGTCTTGTATCTATTTGAAATTGTTTTTATTGTTGACATTTTTATTGTTAAATCACTTTAAGAGGTTTGATAGGAAGTGATTCATAAACTGAATGGAAAAAATAAATCGAAAAAGGTATGTGTGTTTGTAAGACCGTTAACTCCAGAGTCTAGAATTATTATTGCAATGTTGAACATCTTCCAGTAAGAGGGAAACATTGCAGTTGTGTTACTGTAGCTGGGACCTTTCATTTATTTCTCTATTTTTACTATTTGGAGTTGACTTGCACTTCTCGTTAAGGAATTTCTTAATACAGTGACATCCTCAAGGCAACTTTTGACTGTTATGCCAGATGAAATAAGAGCCCAAACTGCCTCTGCCTGCCAACAAGCAATTTCAAAAGAATGGTTCCAAAATCCATGGACAGGCAATACCTTTATTAGGCCCACCTAAACTGTCACAAAATATTTAGTGAGTGAGCTTTTGAGTTCTTCAGAACACCTCAGCAGGCTGGATGTTAAGCAAAGTGAGGGAGGGAGAGAAAAGCTGGTTTGATGTTGAATCCACAAAGCCTGTTTCATTAGCCCCTTGGTGTGACATGATTACATAGAGATTTGCATTTGAGTTGAAATAAAAAATTTAAGGTTATATATATATATATATATATATATGCTTTCGTAGATAGAAGGAGCACCTATGGGATCACCCCTCTCACCGGTCATCGCAAATCTGTACATGGAACACTTTGAAACCAATGCTTTAGACAAGTCAGAACACAAACCCAAACTTTGGCTCAGATATGTTGACGACACCTTTGTAATTTGGCCACACGGGAAGGAAAAACTAGATAGCTTCCTCACACATCTCAACAGCCTACACCCCAAAATACAATTCACTATGGAAATAGAAGCCAACAACCAACTTCCCTTCCTTGACGTCCTAATCTACAAAAAACCTGATGGCTCCCTAGGACACACTATCTACCGGAAAAAAAACACACACCAACCGCTACTTACATGCACAATCACACCACCACCCTGCACAAATAAACTCCGTAGCCAAGACTCTCATCTCCAGAACCAAACGCCTAGCTGACAAAGACCACTTGACAACTGAGTTACAGAATCTCTCAAATGTGTTAATCGCCAATGGATACCAGCAAAACAGGGTTACAAAGCTAATCCAAAAAGAAACACCCCCAAAAAAACCAAGACACAGAAGAAAACAATGGCATGGCCCTCCTTCCTTATATCAAGGGCACTACAGATAAAATTAGCAAAATCCTCCATAAACACAATATCAAAACAGCCTTTTGCACCAACCAAAAAATAGCCAATATCCTCAGAAA